AAAATTAAATCAATTACTACTTAAATAGTGGGTCTTTTAGTATAAGTGGTTTTTATCCCATATTTATTCAAAAATTAAAGAATGAATTTCATTTCCAAAACACTGCCCAAAGCAGAACTGTATATACTATTATAATATTCTAGTCACTTAAGTCCAACGAAAAAATATTAACTGCTAATAAAGCAAAGGTCTACCTATGTAATATTTTCTAAGAATGTTATGTTTTTCATGAACCAAAAGTGTTGTCCTTAAGTTATTTTTTAGTTGGATGAAGGAATGAATGAAAAAAGGTGTATATGCACATAAATGAGAGTATACATTTATATGCCGGGCAAAATGACACAGCCGAGACTCTAGAGAGTCCTTGTTATTGGTATTGTTAAGGCCATCGATTCGGTTCTATCATAGCAATCCTATACAGGGTTTCCAAAGCTTTAAATCTCTGTGCAAGCAGAAGGTCTCATCTTTCTTCTGTGGAGTGGCTGGTGGGCTCAAACTTATGACTTTGTGGTTCGAAGTTCAGTAGGGCGACTGTGTAAGTCACAAAAACAAAGTTTAACTTCAAATCATATTCTCACAATCATATAAAATATCAAAATAATTGAGTTATAAGTTATCAAAAACCTAAAAACAATAAAAGAAGTGAAATTCATGAATAGTATTTTCATTTATTAATTTAGAGAAGAATAGTCCAAGAAATCCCAAGGTCCCTCATAAATTGTCCGTTTCTTTCCTCTAATACTAGCTTTGTAAAAGATATGGTCCTGGTATGATACTTTATACCTTTTTAAGAACCAATTTAGTTATAAAACTTAGTTATAGAAATAAGAATTCAGCATCATCTTAAAGATAGGCTTGATTAATTTCAGAATCCATCTTCCTGTTAAAATTAAGCAACACAAATTCAGTAAATTAAGGTTACCACTAGGAATTAAATTTGGTACCTCGTTTTTTAGCCTCAGCCACCATCTCATCATACTCTTGCCGGTGGCGTAGAGCTTCTTCCACAGATTTGGCAGGAAGGTTTCTGAAAAAGAAAATTACTTAAGTTGAGGCACCTTTTAAAAGACTAATATTAAATTTACTAACTCCTTCCTTTGTATGTTGTTGGTCAGTGTTGTCGAGTCAGTTCTGACACATAGCAACCCTGTATAATAGGGTTTCCAAGGAGCAGCTGGTGAGTTCGAAAAGCAGGCCTTTTGGTCCAGTGCTTATCCTACAGTGTTACACCAGCCATTTACAAAGAGAAAAGGAATTCACAACCAGAAGAAATGTACTATAAGAAATGTTAGAAAGAAGCCCTTCTGGCATAAGGAAATGATACCAGATAAAAATGTGAAACTATAAAATCTCTTATACTAGAAGACTTAAAGAAAAAAATAAAAATACATTGTGGGGTTTTTAACACAGGTGAACAAATTAAATGTGGATACAATAGCAGAAGTCAAGAGTAGTGAAATGGAAATATACTGATATAATGTATTTAAGCCATCTTTAAAATGGCATAATGCTACTTGAAGGTAGTCTGTGAAAAGTTAAGATATATATACAAGTGGGTTTCAAAAATTCAGAGAAAAAGGGATTGAAAGATAATGGAATGTTTCCACAAGCTTTTAGAAGCCTCCTCATATACTGAAAATTCTAAGGAAACTATAAACACACATAAAAAGAAGCATAGGGAATTTGTCAGTAATAGATTAAATTAAATTCTATTCTAAAGAACACAAAATAACGACTAAACAGATAGGAAAAATATAAAACAAATAAGAAGATAGCATTAAACACGAATAATACATTAAATGTAAACACTACAATTAAGGCAAATGTGAGAATGGATTTAAAAACACAAGATCCAACTATACATTGTTTACAAAACCCCACTTTATATATAAAGATACAACTTAAAGGTAAAAAGACAGAAAATTATATATGATGTTAATACTACTCAAAAGAAAGGTTGAATACCTACATTAATGTCAGAGAAAGTAAATTTCACGGACAACAATATTATCAGGGTTATAGAACACAAGTTCTTAACAGCAGCATCAATTACCCAAGAAAACATAGTCTTTAAGATGCATGTAGAGCTTAAACTATCTTAAATAAAAACTGACCAATCTTCAAGGAGAAAGAGATAAAAAACAAAATCATGTAGAAATATTTTAATTCTCCTCATTCAGTAATTGATAGAACTAATACAGAAGATATGAACAATACTATCAACCTCGAAACTACACCCACTCCTAACTTACTGACATGGTTAGGTTACAAAACCCAGGTCCGTATTAAAAATCAGCACGAGAGAGTCAGGGGCTTCATCCTATCTATAGCACCAGTGTACCTCTCCCTTCAGGATATACATGGTCCTGTGGATCCCCTTCCCCATCATGCCTTCCCAGCTTTGTGGAGTCTGCGGGGATTGGGAGTAGTAATGGTGGTGGTCAGATAAGGCCTGTCACCTGCTGCCTTCCACCCAGGGCAGGAACCCTGCTTGTCCTCCGTCTGCCCTGACCCTGCAAGGCACCCTTCTAACTATTTTCTACCTGCCCCCACTGATGTCCCTGGAACCTTAGGGCACTCGCCCAGCCTCCCCAATCCCACCTTGGATTTCACGTTATCCTGTGACATCACAGGAAAAGGTGGCCTGTGGCCAGTCAGCCACCATCCCTCATGTGGCCCAGTTATCTCTGGGACTGCCAGTGCATTATTCAGGATAGTCTGTGAAGTACATTCTGGGCCCAGTCAAGGCCCCACATGGTGTCTGGACCATCAGTGGGTGCTTCTGAAAATTTTTTCAAAGCTGTCATAAATGCAAAATGTCATATAACAAGATAGTCAATAAATGCATAGTAGGTGTAACTGTCATATATAAAGCACTCCAACCAAGACTACAAGAAATCATATGCTGGACCTTGATAAACTTTCAAATACTGAAATCACACAGAGAATATTCTCCAACCAAAAGAGGAATTAAATTATAAAGCAACAATAAAAAGATATCTAGAAATTACCCCCAATTAGAAATATTTTGCACTGAATGGAACAGAAACTAAAACATCAGAATTTGTAGGATGCTACTAAAAGAATATGTTTTTACCATAATTATATTTCACTATAGTTTGTATTAAGGAGCTCTGGTAGCATAGTGGTTACAAATCGGGCTGTGAACCACACGGTCAGCAGTTCGAATCTACCAGCTGTTCCATGGGAGAAAGATGAGGCTTTCTGCTCCCGTAAAGATTTACAGCCTCGGAAACCCTGTTCAGGGTCGCTATGGGTCGGAACCGACTTGAAGGCACTTAACAACAACAACTAAAAGAGTATTCAATGGGCAATTTATAGCTTTAAACTTATAAAGTTTGTTATACAAAATTTTTATTGTTCTTATTGTTTTATATTGTGGTAAAATATGTATATACCAAAACCAAAAACCAAATCCACTGTCATCTAGTTGATTCTGACTTACAGTGACCAGCTATCCTATAGAACAGAGTAAAACTATTCTTTAGGGTTTCTGAGACTATAAATCTTTATGGGAGCAATACAGCCTCATCTTTTTCTGCAGAGTGGCTAGAAGGTTTGAACTGCCAACCTTGGTATTAGCAGCCCAATGCTTAACTCACTGCACCACCAAGACCCCTAAATAAGCATGCTGATGTTGTTAAGTACTGTCAAGTTGGTTCTGATTCATAGCGACTCTGTATAGGGTTTCCAAGGAGCAACTGGTGAGCCTGAATTGCCGACCTTGCCATTTAAACTGATCTTGCAGTCCAGCACTTGTACCCAAAATATAAAAAACATACTTACGCAGCATAAAATTTTCCATCTTAACCACTTTCAAGTGTATAATCCAGTGGTATTAATCACACTATGGTTCTGTATAACTATCACCACTATGTTTCCAGAACTGCCATCACCCCAAACAAAAATTCTGTACCTATTAAGCAATTAACTCATTTCCTCCTCCCCCATCCCATGTTGTTGTTAGGTGTTGTCTAGTCTGTTCTGTCTCAGAGCAGCCCTGTATAAGGTTTCCAAAGAGCGACTAGTAGGTTTGAACCTCCAACTTCATAGTTAGCAGCCCAGTGCTTACCCTACAGCACCACACTCCCAGCCCAAAGTAACCACTAAACTATTTTCTGCCTCTACACATTTGACACCCTGAGGTTAGCATCCTGACTTGTAAGCACTATGCTACCAGACGTCTCATATAAATGGGATCATACAGCACTAATCCTTTTGTGCCTTTCTTACTTCACTGAGCACAGTGTTTTCAAGTTTTATCCATATCACAGCACACGCAGTGAATCCTGTGAGAGCTGGAACTTCACAGTAAAGTCTATCTTGTCTTCCCAGGACTCACAAGAATTTCACCTTTGACTGCTATTAGTGGAAAATACAAGCATTTTCTTTCTCTGACAGGTTCCTGCCTAATACAGGTTCTTGATTTTGCAGGTTTTACTGTATCAGAATTTCTTTGTCTTTATGGTATAATAGTATGCAACTGCATGTACATACTACATTTGGTTTATCCATTATTCTGTTGATGACTACTTGAGTTGTTTTCACTTTGTGACTACCATGAATAACGTTACATTTGCGTTAATAAAACCAAAAGGCTTTTTTTTGAAGAGAAGGGAAATAAACTGCTGGCCATAAAAAGAGAAAAAACACAAATGACCAATAACTAGAATGTAAGTTGTTGTTGTTAGGTACTGTTGTGTTAGTACTGACTCATAGTGACCTTATGCACAACAGAAGGAAACACTGCCAAGCCCTGTGCCAACCTCGCACACTGTGTCTACACTTCAGCCCATTGCTGCTGCCAGTATGTAAATCCATCTCAGTGACCTTCCACTTTGTCAAGCAAGAGGCCCTTCTCCAGGGACTGGTCCCTCCTGATAATATGTCCAAAGTATGAGTGATGAAGTCTCACCATCCTGGTTTCAAAGAAGCATTGTGAACTGTAATTCTTCTAACACAGATTTGTTTGTTCTTTTGGCAATCCATAGTACTTATAATAGTCTCCTCCAACACCAGAACTCAAATACATCAATTCTTCAATTGTCTTCTTTATTCACTGCCCAACCTTCTTTACATGCATATGAGGTTACTGAAAATACCATGGCTTGGGTCAGGCACATCTTAGTCCTCAAACTGACATCTGTATTGTTGGTTTCTTTACTGCTGCTTTCATGAATGTTGATGGCTGATCCGAGCAAAATGAAGTCTTTGACAACTTCAACCTTTTCTTCATTTATCTTGATGTTATTTATTGGTCTAACGGTTATGATTTTTGTTTTCTTTACATTGAGGTACAACCCATACTGAAGGCTGTGGTCTTTGATCTTCATCAGTAAGTATTTTACGCCCTCTTTTTTTTCAGCAAGCAAGGTAGTATCATCTGTATATCTCAGGTTGATGAGCTTTTTTCCAATACTGATGTCATGTTCTTCATATAATCCAGCTTCTCAAATTATTTGCTCAGCATACAGGTTGAATGTTGTTGTTGTTAAGTGCCATCGAGTAGATTCCAACCCATAGCGACCCTGTATAGGGTGTCTGAGGAGTAGCTGGTGAACTTGAACCACTGACCTTGCAGTTCAAACAGCACAGGTTGAATAAGCATGGTGAAAGAATACAACCCTGATGCTCACCTTTTCTAATTTTAAACCATTCAGTGTTTCCTTGTTCTCTTCCAACAACTGCCTCTTGTTTTATGTACAAAAACTCTGTACCTATTAAGCAATTATCTCATTTCCCCCACCCCCAGCCAATGGTATTAAGTGCTGTCAAGTCAGTTCTAACTCGTAGAGACCCTGTATAAGTTTTCCAAAAAGCAACTGGTGGATTTGAACCTCCAACTTTGTGGTTAGCAGCCTAGTGCTTACCCTGCAGCACCACACTCCCAGCCCACAGTAACCACTAATCTATTTTCTGCCTCTACACATTTTTCTATTCTAGATGTCTCATATAAATGGGATTAGACAGCATTAAGTCCTTTGGTGCCTGTCTTATTTACTTAGC